CGCCGCGAGAGTCGCTCGAGCCGCCGCCGCTGGACGTGCCCCGCCCGCAGAAGCAGTACTACTCGCCGGAGAGGATGGAGCGGTGGGATGCAAACGGGGTGCCAAGCGCACCGAACGGACTCGCGGACGGGCCGCCCGACTTGCTGCAGGAGCTGCTGCCGCTGCTGGCGAAGGAGGAGCAACGGAACGCGAGGACGTTGACGGACAAGGAGTTAGAGCTCAAGGATCGCGTCGACGCGTGCTGGAATCTGTATGCTAGCACGTATAAGAATTCGGAGAGATTGGACAATTTAAGGCCATTTCGACTGAAGGACGAGGCGGAAAGGGTGTGTGAGAGGTGCGCGGGGGAGGGGATGGCGCAGTGCGAGTATTGCCACGGAGAAGGATTTGTGGACTTGGGGGAGAATGCAGAGAAGTTTGAGGAAGAGTTTAAGGGCAATACTTTTACGTTGCCCAAGTTGGTGACGGGGAATATTTATCATTGCCCGCTTTGTGGGGGGCTAAAGGAGGAGAGATGTATTGAGTGCTTCGGGAGCGGCGTGATTCGGGACAGCGCCGAGAGGCAAGAGGGAGAGGCGGCAGAGGATGTGGGTGACGCCGGGTGGCACGCGTTGGACTTCGATGAGTTGCTCAGGAAGGAAGCAGATCGCATCGAAATTGGACTGGATGGGACGATTGTTATGCGCGCAAAGAAGCATAAGAGAACGGGAAGGAGAGGACGGAAAGCTAAGGAGGACATGGCGGAAGAAGTACTTGCGGAGCTGAAAGACAAGGAGGACAAGGCAGAAGAATTACTTGCGGAGCTGAAAGAGAAGGAGACGGCACAAGAGATAATTGCTGAGCTTAAAGAGAAGGAGAAGGCGAAAACGGAAACTGAAGAGGGGACGATGAAGAGGAAGAGGGGGCGCCCGAAAAAGGCGGCAGTAGGGATGTCGAGGAATAGTAATGTGAGGGAGTCTGGGCCAGCGCCGACAAAGCAGGCGTTTGCGCAGCCGATTAGGAGACCCCCCAGCAGTACAGACTTCTTAAATACGACGGACTTCAAAATGGGGCGTAGGTTGTCGAAGCAGGCTAAACGGCAGAACCAACAAATCCCTGATACTCCTTCGAGCATGGATATGAAGGACAATGCGGGAAACAAGAAAACAGGCAAACGGAAAAAAAAGGGCTAGTAGAGTCGGCGTGCGCATGCATGTTTGTGGTCTGGTGGATTGAAGTGCCGGCACTTGGAGGCTGCACGAGATGGTTGTAATTTGCGTGGGTCCATGTCATCAAGGCGTGTTAAAGTGAAAATTCGGGATCTTTGTGAAGGTCGGGTGCAACGAGGGGAGTGGACTAAACTGTATAGGGTGCAAGAGAAGTGGAAACAACACTTGTCTATTTTCCGTGGAGGCCAAACAGGCATGTGCGCGGCAGCACCGCCATGTGACTAGGTAATAGCCACAGGCTGCGCGTCAGTTACATCTTCGACAAAGAGCGGACGGGAAGGTATGCACGTACCAGAATGGATGGTTGTATTTTCAATGCGCTTGGGGCGCTGGGCCCTTCACAGTAGTGATGGCTGAATGCACTCCTTGTTTATCTGCTTTGTCAAGCTAGAGGGAAAAGTCCAGTAGACGATCCTTCTGTGAGCTGGGCATGGGCAACTTACTTAAAACTGCAGTAGATAGGGGACAATGGCAGCTTTTTTCAATACCAATTTCCGATTACGGTAGCATTTTTTATACACAGCACTGTGGGACACAAGTGTCAGAAAGCACTCACGTATAGGAGTGGGCCTCCGACATCGCAGATGATGCCGAGTGTGAAGGTGTCGCAACGCATTTCTTTTGTGCCTATTTTTGCTATACCACAAGGGGCAAAAGGGAATATGTAACGAAGCTGACCCATCGACCGGCTTTCTTCGTGGCCCATCGCTGAACACGGCAACGCCCATGCGATCCCGCTTAGTCCCAATGTGGCATGATCGGGGAGAAACACGTTGACAATCGTCGCTCCTGCACTGATACGCCCAAGTGCGGCTCCAAAGGTCCGCAAGGGCGCGGGGACAGCACCTGTGGGGCTCTTCCCTATCACGACCTGCGTGGCCCATACCTTCCCTTGAAGGTTCAGTGCTGGGTACTAACTCGTGCGGACTCTTGAGAGCATCTTTGCGGGCAACAAGTTGAATCCTCTGGTGCACCTCGTGGAAGGAAGGCGACTGCTTATCGTCACGCATGGCCCAACGCTATGTAATAAGGGATGAAGTTCGCAGCGGCAAAGGACTCACCGAAGTGAAGTTTCGTGCGACGCTCTTCTATACCCCTTTCTTTTACACGACCGGGCCATCCTTTTCTGTGATACAGCGCTCGTGGACTTCTCTTTCGAGCACCCTCGCTCTTCTAGGCAACGATGAAGGGAAGTTTACCAGTACTTTCGTCCCTGTCCCAATAAGCGACGATGTGTTCTTCAAACCTTATAACTGCATTAGAAGCAGGAGAATAGCTGATGTATACAAAATGTATTCCAGAATAACACAGTTCCGAGGCAGTCACAACAGTTACCATGCGTATGAGTATTCTGGTTGCTGTATAGACAGAGATAGAGGCTAAGATATCGCACTGGTCAAGGTTCCGTCCGTGCTGACCTGCCCAGGACATTAACGTACATCCAAAACACTCCTAGCTCGGCAATACTCGCTTTCAATTCTTGCAATCTGATTGCTCCGAGAACTTGAAGAGCATCGGCAGATATTCGTTATGGTTAGAATGGGGTTTTCGTTTCCTAAGGAAGAAAACAGCCGTATCTTGACAATTTTGATCCCCATCTTGACTTTCTTTCTGCTCGTCAATCTGGAAACCAGCAAGCTTTCAGAAAGGCATGCAACCTTTGATGCGACACATGTCCCAGAGAATCAAACCACCACCTTGGCACGAGAAAAAGCAGATAGCACAGGCGTCAAGGCAGATGGGACGCAGCTGAAATCGGCATCTTGGCTCACTGAGGCTTCAAAAGACAACAAGTCAGTTTTCACGAGACTAATACGTCAGCTCCCCCCTTGCGCACATCTACAAAAGGCGCCCAAGACATTCTTGGTCGTCTTCATGGGGCACAGCGGTTCATCCGCGATTATGTCGGAGATAGAGGCGCACACGCAAACGTTCACAGGACCGCGAGAGCCCGTGGACCACTACGAGTACGAGTTTAACACAACTATGGCACTAGAATACACCCGAGACTTTTTCAAGCGGGGGATCGCCGAGGGGAAGGTGGCAGGCTTCAAAATGCGCCCCAACCATATCAACAAGGCGCCCGAAGAATGGGCGGCGCTCGCCAAAGAGTTTGACACGCGGATCATTTGGCAGTACAGAGAAAACGCGCTGAAGCAAGCGGTTGGAGAGTACTCTTTCAAGTATCTAAACGACACATCAGTAATCGAAGGGCTTAGAAACAAGGCGGACGTGAAGGAGCGATGCAAGCGGGGGGTCGGATGCCGGTTTGCAATCGAGAACCTAGACTTCTTTCACCACACGCTGACGGACTGCCTTCATTCCGACATGGCGATTTCGCAAGGCGTGCACTTGATAGCCGACGGGAGGTTGTGTGTTCATGCAGTGCCATACGAGGACTACTTGTATGAGCGGGAAAAGACGATGGGGCAGTTGCGTAGGTTCCTGGGCCTCCGGTATGAAGAGACGGCGCCGGCGAGATACAAGGCGACGAGCGATAATTTGTGCGAGGTGGTGAGCAACTGGAAGGAGCTGTGCGCGAATTTCTACGGGTGCCATGTGTGGAGGCATATGTTTGAAGACGATCGGAACGGATGCACGTGCGAGTTTTCTACGGGTCACGTCAAGTACTGCGACTCGATATATAGAGGATGAGGATGCAGGGTGAAGAAGGGTTGGGTTGACGTGGAATAGGTAGACACAACGTTAGAGAGAGGAAGGACTAGAATTGTACAGCAAGAGTTTATCGGAGTGGATTGTAAAGCTAGACGGTAGGGAATTGTGGTTGCAATGTTACGAACGTGAGCAGAAGGTGTTAGGAGTTAATGGCTGTGAGAAGAATTGGGATGGTTGCCCTACCGGACCTTCCTGGACGCCCTCTCTGCTTTTCTCCTCTCCTTCCTGCTCATGGCTGCAAACTGACTGACGGCCTGATCCTCCTCCGCGTCGATCTCATTCGGGGCCTTCCGTGCTGCGCACGAGGCGTAGATGGCGTACGTGGGGAGGACGGCGAAGATCAAGAGGGCCCACTTGGTGAGGAGCAGAGCGAGAAGCGTGAGCAAGGAGATGTAGATGGTATCGTGAGCATACTCGAGCACACCCGGGGCGGAGATGTCCTCTCCGCCGTCGCACAGCTGGCCGTCGTCGAAGTAGCGGGGGCGGGCGGCCGTCCACAGAAGGTAGAAGGGGGCGAGCGTGGTCAGCAACAGGAAGAACCAGGCGGCCAGGTGGAAGGTGGTGACGGCCGAGCGCGGCAGGAGCAGGCGGACGACGATGTAGATGAGGTTGGCCGCGACGATGAGCAGGCGCAGGCGGGTGAGGCGGGCGGAATTGGACTTGACGCGCTTCTTAGCGGAGGAGTTAGCCATGGCTGGGGGGGGGTGGGGGGTTAGGGAAAGGGGGGAGATGAGAAGAAGGGGGTGAGGAAGGGGTGGAGGGGGGAGAGGGGGGAGAAGGAAGAGGAAGCGGGATGGGAATTACGGGTGGGATGACGGCGGGATCGGGCAACAATCAACTTGGGATGGAAGAGTGCGGAATGAAACGATGTATTATTGAAATTTTATTGGGCATGCCCAAAATGTGCAGCGCAGCCAATCGCCGCGCCGGACCAGGCGAATGCCAGCAAGGTTGGTGACGACGTGACAATCCCCGCCCCTCTCCCCACTTCTCTATCCACCGCCCCTTGATCCTCTTCCCCCAACCACTCCCCGCAATCAACTGCTCATCTAAGGTCTTATTCCGAAAGCTAGAAACTATCGATAACAACAAAGCTAGATCAGCACTGGTTTCTGTCACCTTTACACCGCCTACCACGTTGGCAAATACATCCTGATCATTCATTTGCACATCGCCATGGCGATGTAATACAGCTAACAGCATCGCCATACGGTTTTGCTCAAGGCCGACTGCGACGCGTCGCGGGTTGGCTGTTTGCGAATAATCCACCAGCGCTTGTATTTCCACTAATAGCGGGCGCGTTCCCTCCCATACTACCATTACAATACTGCCAGGCGACTGCTCTTCGCCACGACTTAAAAAGATTGCCGAAGGATTACTGACTTCTTTTAGTCCACGCTCAGTCATACCAAACACACCTAACTCATTGACTGCGCCGAAACGATTTTTCTGGCTTCGCA